GCCGCAAAACCTCAAAAATGCTGCTGCTGTCGACTTTAATTTTATTGTGCCTTAACTTCAAGTGGGTGTTCAGCAGTGAGTTGTGTTTTGTTGCACGTAAAATGAGAGATTGTAGGCTCAGTGTTTGGGGCATAAGCTGTGTCGTTTGGAGTGGGAGTAGCAGTGAAGGAAGTGGTGGATTTATAGTGGGCACATCAAATGAAGCTTCGAGTGCTCACACCTCGCAGTTGGCATAAATGGCAACACTTGTGGTTAATTGTGGGTGAATCTGTTGGAGCAGTTGAGGACTGTGGACGTGATAGTTGCCACTGGCGTATTCGTCTTTAATGTTTGTGCGCGCACTCTCAGCCTGCGCTAACGCCTGCACTCGGTGGCGGTGATGAGGCTCGTGGCTGCAACGCAGGCAGCAAGTGTTGGTGGTCTGCGCCCCGCTGCTGCCACCACATCCCTTCTTTTTTGTTGTTGGTGTTGGTGTTGTCACAAATGCCTTTGGCTGAATGTGCTGCAATCACCGTTGCCATGACAAGTTCAGCTTTCCGTGAGTTGAGACGTTTGACAATGAACACATGCAAGATTGGGAATAAGAGGACTATCAGCACTTGGTGGAGAGTGTGCGTTGATGGACGGGACGATGAATTGCTCGCTCTCGACACACACCGACTCAGCGATGCTGTGCCACTTTGTGCGCTAAGCGAACCTCTCCTTCAAGCCTCCTGACCAGTTGGCAGCCTCATCCAAGTCAAATGGTTGGTCTTGCCAAAATGCGGCTTCGAACGCACCAGCTAAATGCTGTCATGCAAGCAAGGCAAGGGCACATTTGATGGGTCCCTCCATTAGCAGTGTGCTGCATCTGGTCGATGGGGAGTGAGGCAGAGTGGACAAAACACACACCCTTGTACGACTTGGGTGGGTTTGCGGACTGATCGTGAGGCCAAGTCACTGCCTCATCTCTGCCCCTCCTATTCGTGTAAGAGCTGTCAGCCCCACCGAACGCTCGTAACCACCACCACCACCACCACCACCACCACCACCACCATCACCACCACCACCATCACTAAACAACAAGTACCACGACTACACTGCCACCATACTACTTGTCCCTCCATCAGTTGGCGATGACATGGTGCGGAATTAATAAACTAATAAATGAATTAAAAACTAGGTAAGTAAGTAAGTGCAAGTGTCTGCGTGCCTCGACACTGCAATGTGATGGCGAGGTAGCGAAGAGCACTGCTTGCCAATTGCGGTAAGGTGTTTTGTCGACACAGAGCATAACGAGTATTGGCTGGGAAGAGTGTGCGCTAAAAGGGGGCGTGGAGCAGGACCTGATTCAAAATTGGTACCCTCAGCTGACTTGCCATGCTGTTTACCCGAAGGCGAAGACTTTGCAGTGGAGTGTGAATGCACAAGGTGTATTGAGTGTTAATTCGGCAGGGCAGAGGAAGGGAGAGGCGGTGGAAATGCTGGCAGAAGTGTAGTTTCTGCGAATGGCCCTGGTGAGGCGAGCAGAGAGGGTGCGTGACAGGCCTGACCGACACACCTGCAGTAGGTGGCAGATGAGGATTTGGTGTGTGTTCTCGTGGGTACGTGGTTGTGTATCTGAGGTTTGACAAAGTACAAGGAGCCAGTGGCACACCTCAAGTGTCTGCTAATGCAGAAGCTGTTGCACTCAGTCGATTAGCAGACTTTTGCTGGGTGTTGACACTCCATTCCATCTCTGTCATGCACACCTCCACCTGCATGCCTTCATGTTAAGCGTACTCGAGCCACTCAAAGCGGTAGAGATGTGGCAACTTTCCTTCCTCCGTGACACACGACTTGCGTTACGGTGGAGTGTGCAGAGGAGGTGGTTGACAGTTGATTGTGGCTAGAAAGACTTGGACGGCAGCGAGGCTGGAGGTTGCAGATGTCAACTACGACCTATTGATTGCATCGTCTCACAGAAAGGCTGACGCTGGAATGCTGAATAGTGTCAACCACGGCATTGTCACTTGATCGTCAAAATGTCTAACGTTGTCTCCTCTAGGAGCCTTCACATTGGGCACTTTTGGTCTTTCAGGCGAATGCTGACGTCCAGAGCACACCAACAAGCTCTCCTTCACCTCCCGCAATGCGGTTTTGCATGGACAGACTTGACTTTGTGCCTGTGCCTCCTCTCAACTTCCAGTGGTCGGCATTTGTGCCAACCTCGTCTCGCCCTGCATCCACGAAATGGCAGTATTGAAGTGTGCAAGTGGGAGACGTGGGGTGGTGGTCAGCATTGGCAAAGGAGGGGATGTGTGGGTGGTTGGATCACCTGTGGCTTGTACCACGCAGCACTGTTTGAGCGACTTCGTCGTTGTGCCTGTCCGGTGGAGTGCCTCCCTTTCCACCAGCACTCATTTGCGGAGGTGTTGACAGCCGAGCTAGATGTTGGATGTCAATTCGCCTCACCTTCGATTTACCTCCAATTCGACAAATTCACATGCCTACAAGCACAACCCCTGAAGTTAAATGACACCGCCTCGCAACTATCTGTTCAACGTTGACGCAAGTGGTGCTGACGCCGTTGTTGTTGATGACGATGAATGATCTGAAAGATTTCCTTTTAAGCGATGGTAAATGGACTTCTTCCTTTATGTCTCGACCTCAATGTCATGAGGTTCGTAGTTGTTCGACTGCCATCATCGCTTTTACCGACATACATTTAGCGATTAAAATTGCTAAAATTTTAAACTAGGGCCGCGATCTTCGCTAAGCCACCACAAACCCCTAATGCAAAGCGAAGTAGTTGTTTTGAATGCCTTTTGTGGGGGAAGGCGGG